TGATGGTGTTGCAATCACAACTTTTGGTAAAATGGAGCAGGAACTCGCTGATTCTGTCGCAGCATCATTCCACTTGATGTCTAAATCAGTAGATGGAATTCTAGAGGAAAAATATCCTGCTTATAAGGACCGCCATATGTTGTTCATGGAGAGGGAGAAACAAATTAAGAATAAAGCAGAATAAGCAAGGGCAGAGAAGTTCGGCGAGAAATCAAACTTCGAGTATAGGGCAAAAGCATCTGTAACTATACCACCAAAACTTGCTCAAATAAAGGAGAAGACTATTGTTTCTACCGACTCAAGTGAGCAATCCAATGATGATAAGACTGTAGACTCACAAATATAAGCAAGACAAAACTTGCTCGCATTGAAAAGAGAGCACCTAGGGTGTCCAGACCACCACCAAAGCCATCCAGTGGAGCTTTTGATGGCACAAATACAACTACAACAGGACAACCTCCTGCTCCACCTCCACTGCCCGGTGCACCACCACCACCACCGCTACCTCCTGGTGGATGATCACCTCCTCCTTCAGGAAGTCTACCTAGAGGGGCAGTCAGTGGTGATAAAGTTCACCGAGCTCCTGAACTTGTTGAATTTTATCAGACATTGATGAAACGGGGGCAAAGAAGGACACTTCAAGTTTGATTTCTACAACGTCTAATACATCAGATGCTAGGAGAAACATGATTGGAGAGATAGAGAATAGATCGTCATTCCTGTTAGCTGTATGTTGAAGTTTTTCTTTGCTTTCATTTATCTGCTTATCTTCAGATCAAGTGTAGGTTTTCTTTAACCGAAATTAACATTTAAAATACGAGATCGAATGAATTCATCAGGTAAAAGCTGATGTGGAAACTCAAGGTGACTTTGTTGAGTCCTTGGCAACTGAAGTTCGAGCAACTTCATTCAACAACATAGAAGACCTGGTGGCTTTTGTAAATTGGCTAGATGAGGAACTTTCCTTGGTATGGAATAAAATATTAATGATTATAATAATATATTTCTTTCAGAGGTGTTCATAGTTGAATTTGAAAGAGATCTTATTGCACGAAAGAAGCATTGATTTTGAGGTAATATGGCAGAAGATGCATCTTGGGAAGTAAACCATGGGTCTAAGACACACTAGATTTTGCTCTATCTTCAGATCTATTTTACCGGTCACCATGAAAGGCTAATGTCATTGCTTTAACTCATATTGTGTGCAAGATGTACTTAGTCTACGAACCTGTTGTCATTTTCAACAGATAGAAATTGTCTCCCTAGTGTGTACGTTATTTGCTGAATAATCTTTCTGCACCCATCTAGGTTGATGAACGAGCAGTCTCAAGCACTTCGATTGACCTGAAGGAAAGGCCGATGCATAAGAGAGGCAGCTTTCGAATACCAGGACCTAGTGAAGTTGGAGAAGCAGGCCTCTTCCTTTGTTGATGATCCAAACCTTCCATGTGAAGCTGCTCTAAAGAAGATGTACAGGTTGCTTGAAAGTAAGTATAAAAACCTAACTAGGATAGCATTTCAGTATTAACTAAGAAACTCTAAGGATGATAGAGATGCACTTTGTCATATTCTAATTTCCTATTTCCTATTTTGTTTCTTCAGATTGAACAAAGTGTATATGCGCTCTTGCGTACAAGAGACATGGCTGTTTCACGATACAGGGAGTTCGGATCCTGTCAATTGGTTATTAGATTCTGGGATTGGTTAGCAAGTTATGGACCATAACAATAAACTAAAAGTATGCTTTGGTAATTCATGCAATTGTGGTTTTATACATGGAACTTTCCCTCTGGTAAATAATATGATACATGGAACAACTCCATTAGTGGCTCGCTGTACAATGAATTGATGATGTAATCGCAAGCACGAATGAATACCACGACAAATAGAAATTAGTATGCATATTTTTCCTGATATACTTTATGTTTTCTTATGCATATTGCAGATCAAGCTTCATCTGTACAATTGGCAAGGAAATACATGAAACGTGTAGCATCAGAACTGATGCATTGAGTGGACCTGAGAAAGAACCAACAGAGAGCTTACACTTCTGCAAGGGGTCCGTTCCGCGTACCGTGTTCATCAGGTATTTTAACTTTGCACTTGGTTCCCCTCATTTAAGATGTCTGGTTTAACGTCTTTAACAGAAATTCTGATCAAAGGAATTACTCGTACCACTTCAAGTAATGGTGTTTGAATATTTTCTGCCAGTTTGCGGTGGTTTTGACGCGGAAAGCATGAAGGCTTTCGAAGAACTTAAGAGCCGAGTACATAATACAAATGGAGAAGAGAATAAGGGGCAGGCATGATAAATATACTCTTTTTGGCCTTGTCTATCCACTACTCCCCTGTATATTGCTTTTATACTACTAGTCGACGGTGTGCATTAGAAATGATTCCATATCAGGTAGGATATTGCAAATGAAGGCATGCAGAGACAGAGATAAATGAAGATCATATTACTAGTAGAGTGTTACTTTTAAGGTTGTGGTTAGGGGTGTAAATTAATAGGCTGAAAGCGTTTTCGTTGTTTAAATTTTATATGTGTTTGCATTTGTTTGTTTTAAAAGGTTTCCGTCTTCAGTGCGTTTTAGCGTTCACAAACATGTTCGTGTAGCGTTCGTTAACATGTTGATTAGCGTTGTGATATGTTTAGACAAAATAATAAAATTACAGTCCTTAAGCTCTTTAGATTTATAGTTGAACTCCAAAATTTAACTTGTGTTCAATTTTGTCTCTACTTTCACCTATATTTAAAATGTAAAAAAAAATAAAGGAGAATCGGGTAAATTAGCTTATAAATGAGTTTGTTCGTGAACATAAACGAACTGAACACATTTGTGTTTATTCGATTATTAAATGAGATAAAAAATTTATTTATATTTGTTTATTAACTTAATAAATGAACAATACATTGAATACTATTCATTTGCCTCTAATTGTGGTTCAAAGTTATCAACATACTTCTATAAGAGATTAAAATATTATATTTATATATTTGAAATAAACATCTAATTTATGATATAAAAACCAAAAGAATATAAAACATAAACTCCATTCTCTTGAATACATTTTTTTTCCTTCTAATCTTCATGTAAATATCAAATCAATAAAAAAATTTATCCCAAAATCACTAATTTAGTCCTCAAGATACCAATCCAAAATGGACCCAACAATTCACCACATCAAATTTCTTTTGTCGGTGTAGGCCATGATACGGCGCCTTAAATTTCCGTCGCCTGATTCCACAAGTTAAAAAAAAAAGGCTTTATAAATTATTGGGTAAATTTGCTATTTAGTATCCCACCTAATCTTATGTTCTGTTTGATCACTCCTTTATTTTAAAAATATCGCAAAATTCTTTAAAATATATATATATTATCAAATATAAAAAATATCTATTAAAATTATAAAATATTTTTTATTAAGTAGAGAGGTATTACGTTTTTAAGATAAATACTAAAATTCAAACTCACACAAGATAAAAAAACATAAAAATCTTGATCACTCAACCAATTAATAAATTTCTATAAAATATCTTAAAAATTGTGAGAAATAATATATATGTTTCTAAAATTATTTTAAATTTTTTATACATAATAACTCCTTATTAAATCGTGCACATTTTTTATATGATAACTATAAAAAAATTAAAGAGACAAACATAAGGAAAAATCAAAATCAAATTAATCAAAAAAAGTTAAAACGTAAAAATAAATCTTTTTATTATAATACAATCATAAAAATATATTAAGCCTAAAAAGAATCATCTCAACCAATAAAATTTAATTTATTTATAATAATCCTCTCAAAAAATTATTTATAAAGAGAAATAATATTAACGGAAGAATAAAAAATATAAAATTTATGTAAAGTAATATATTTAATAAATTAACTATTATTTAATATTTAATTAGTATAAAAAATTATTTTAAGGACTAATTTTAAAATCTTATCCATAGTTTGAATGTGTGTCACGGAATTAGTCCAAATTAAGATTGAGAAAACAAAACAATATATCGATGAAGCGCAGATAATAAAGTTGGGAAAAATCACGATTTCCGGTATCCAAATCAGAAGAGAAAAAGAAGAACGAGAAGCCAAATCGAGAAGAAATCATGGTAAGCAAATCATTACTCGCTAACTTTCGATTAGATTAAACAAAAAGTTGCTGCTTCGGTTCCCCTCGAACAATTAGGGTTTTCAATTTTTGAACGTTTCGTTGTAGATCTTACAATCCTAGACAGTGATAGAGGTATAGTTATATGAATATGATTAGTTTTATATCTAATTTACCTGATTTCATTCATTACCCCTTCCAATTCCCCATTTTATATTTGTTGAATTGATGCGGTTCTGTTGATTTCATGATTTGAATGTGGTTTAATATCGTATAGCTGAATAGAATTTTTACAATTCTTAAAAGAAAAATCTTTTAGAGGTATGCTTCTTGGGAATGTATTTAGGCTGATTGCTAAATATGTTGCTGTATTAACAATTTATTTGATGATGGCTTTGGATTAATGCTGTTACATTTTTTTTTTCGTTCAAGATTTTTCTAAAGCTTGTGTTCCCCCTCCTTCCATTGGAAAGTAATTGGAAAAGGATTAACCTGCTTTCTTTGTGCTTTTGCAGTCTTCCCTTGCAGCTGCTAGAGCAGATAACTTTTACTATCCCCCAGAATGGGATCCAAGTCAGGTATGCATAGTTTAGATTATTTGCCGCCTTCAATTTTTTGGTGGGTTTTAGGAAAATTTTGCTGGAGTTAGTTATGATTTATAGCATTTCTATCTTTAAATTTTGGTCTATATATGAATTAATTTCTTAAGTTGTTTGGTTTAAAATATCCTTGCCAAGCTTACTTTTTCTGTGAAAGTTCTTTCTAAGTGGTAAATGTGGGTCTGATTTTCATTCTCTTTTGCTTTAAGGTTCGAAATGCCTTTCAACATATGGTGTGGCGGGTGCAACTCTATGATTGCAAAAGGTGTACGGTCAATGCTGAAAAAGCAAGGGGAATTATTATTCTACAAAGGTATCTTGTTTTACTAATTGCATAAGACTCATTATAGTTCATTTTAATCTATTCTCGTGTAAATTTTCTTGTTTTCATTAAATTCTGTTAATTAATTTTGCTCTCACTGATTGGTATTCCTAACAATTACTTGTTTTTAGATATGGAGCTTTACCATGAAGTCTGCGTGCTGCAAACATGAGATAGTCATTCAGACAGACCCAAAAAATTGCGAATATGTGATCATTAGTGGGCTCAGCGGAAAAACTGAAGTGTATGATGTTGAGGATGCGGAGACATTAGAACTCCCTGCTGAAGAAGTTTGTAGTAAGTTATATGGATTTATTGATTATTATTAGATAATTACTTTAACTATAGGGTGTCTTAACTTTGCTTGAAAACTATTATTATGGAACAATTGGACCAATGGCAGTGAACAAACTTCTTTGGATAGTGGAATAAATTTAACAAAAAAAAAAAAAAAAAACCTTGAATCTCTGTAACTTCCAATCAAAGCATGGGTTGATTCACAGGTCTCAATGAGGGTTAAACCTATAGACCTGTGCTTCTTGCTTACTGGGAATCAACTTTTTTTTGTGTTTGTATTGTTGGTTTTTACAATTATATTTGTTCTACAGAAAGAGGCAAGCTTGCAGATCCATTTTATCGTCTTGAACATCAGAGGATTTGAAGAAGAAAGAAGCTGAACCATACTAGTTCGGCTTCAGCGTGTATCTGATGCCAGGCATTCAGATGATTATTCCCTCAATAAAGCTCTACGTGCTAAACTTAGAGTATGTTACTACGCTTAGATTGGGTTTGTAGGTTACATATGTGATGAACTTGCTTGCTAATTTTTGCTCTGTTCAGGGTCAAAAGAAGAGGGTTCTTGAAGAAGAATCTGCTTCAAGGAAAATGGGCCTAAGCATTCGATTCCTGCCTGCAAGTGAGGAAGACGGTGCCTCTGCTGCAGGAGTCAAATTTCCTTCCAAGTTTGAGAGAAACAGGAAAGATAAGAGAGATTTGATTAAAGCTGCTTCAATCTTCCCTGGATCATCTGGATCATCCTCGTCCAATAAGAAAAGGTTGGAGCTAGAGTCCAGAGAAGTAAAATCTTGTGCAGCTGCAGCTTCCAACTTGTTGACAGGGGGATTCAAGCCATCATCATGGTCAACAATGCCGTGAAGAAGAGTGTTTCCTCCAATGCACGGAAATTTTAGCTCGAGTTTTGGTACTGCTGCTTCATTCACATATGTTTAAGAATTAGCTCGAGTTTTGGTACTGCTGCTTCAATTCACATATGTTTAAGAAGAGCTGGGATGGATGGATTCCAACCTCTAGTGTTTTCTTGTGCAAGATTGTGGTGGATCATGTATATTAGTATGTATCTATTGCTAGTTAATATTCTCTTTGGTCAGTAACAAATCAGTTAGATGTCATATAGGTATTGTGTGCGACTTGATCATGTTGAGAAATTGGAACGAATTGGATGTTTTTGCTCTCATTTTTACATGTATCGTTCGAGTTTATATAACATCATGCCACTTAATCCTTTGGGCATTTCTTTGAACAATCATACAACTTTAGTGGTAAAAGTGTTTTTTTAGAGGGTTTGATTTAAGCGGTTATTTTACAAGGTGTGTGTTGTCTATATAGACTTGGTAAATTTGATCCGATCCTGATTACCTGAATTGATACCTGAAATAGACCCAAACATGATGACTAAAATTCCCAAAAACCGAACCGAATCTTAATTGACTTGAGTTTTGTCAAACCAAAAGTAATCCGAATCGAAAGCAACTTGAACCAAAAGCAAGTGAATCGAAAATAACATGAACCGAAAGTAACTCAAATTTAATTTACCATAATACGATCTAAACTGAAAATTGACCTGATTTTAACCCGATAATTGAGTTAAAGTGTATAAAAAAATACTAAAATAACTTATTAAATTGGTTTTCAATTTACTTAAATCAAATTGTGAATTATAATGAGTTAATTGCATCATATGTCCCTATCTATGACTCTCATTTCAAATTAGTCCCTAAACTTTTAAACATTTCAACTTCATCCTTAAACTATGACTATTGTTCTAAATTAGTCCTCAACTTTAACATTTCATTTCATCCCCAAGTTATAATTTCATCTTAAATCGGTCCCCAAACTTTTTGAATATTTCAATTTTATACTAATTATTCGTATATACTAATCACATCTATTGTTAATAAAATCATTAGGCAAGTTATATTATTATATTTTTAAAAAAAATAAAATTTAGGCTAAACTATATTATTATATGTTTAAAAAAAAAAGGTTAAACTATGGTTGAAATGGAATACATATTTGGATGAATTTGGGATAAAAGTTTAGGGACTAATTTAGAATGAGATTCATAGTTTGGGGATGAAATTCGAATGTTAAAAATTTTAAGGCTAATTTAGAATGAGAGTCATTATTTATATATGAAATTGGAATATTTAAAAGTTTAAGGACTAATTTAAAATGATAGTCAGTTTAGGACATATGATGCAATTAACTCATTATTAATTTAATATTTTACTTTGGAACTACTAAATGAACTTTTCAAAACTATTAAATTAATTTACAAATTATAATTTTAATTCCTTTATATAAGAAAAAAATACAATTATTTAAATTTAATACAAAAATAACTTATTTTCAAATAGTTATTTTTATAATATAAAGATATTTTTTTTATTTATAATTTAAAATTAAAATATTTGTTTAAACATAATATAATATTATTGTTTTTTAAATTTAATAAAAATATTATTTATAATTAAACATTAACTATCTAATTTAAAATTTTAATATATAATAAAATTTATATTAAAAGTTTATTTTTTTTAATCAAATTGTACCATAAACTTTTCAGTCCGGATCAATAAAAAAATATCAGAAACTCTAACATATCTTATAGGTCGAGCTTGAGTTAAATTATAATCCACAAATGATATTGAATTTGAATGAAATTGAACACAAATGATAAAATTAAAAAAAAAAGACGTTTTTTTAAATATAAATAATTCTCCATATACTTGATTTGACTTATACCCAATTCAACCTGAGTGACCCAAAGATCTAAAGTTGACCCAAATCGAAAATAATTGATTGGACATTGGCCCTACTTGAAAATCATCTGATTCGATTGGATCCGACTTGAAATCAACCAATCCGATATTAACTCGACCCCCCATACCCAAACCATCCCGACTTACTATATACCCGAATAAAATCGAAACCCGAAATGACTGACCTGACCTGAACTTGACCTACTCAACCTGAATTGACCCAAGATCTAAAGTTGACCTAAACCGAAAATAATTGATTGGATATTAACCTTACTCGAAAATCACACGATCTCATTTGATCCAACCCAAAATTAATCGATCCGATATTGACCTGACCCGGCTCGACTTACTATAGAAACGAATAAAATCTAAACCTAAATTAACTCGAACTTGACCCGACTTACTATAGACTCGAATAAAACCAAAACCTGAAATGATCCGACCCGAACTTGACCTGAATAAGTTTGAACCCAAAATGACTCGAACCGAAACCAATCTGAATGACCCGTTTGACACCTCATGTATATAATTAAAAAAGATTCCGAATAAATATGATTTATAATCTACTTTATAATCATTTTAGGTTATTAAAAAAAATCCCGGGGTATTTGCTTTCCGGTTCCCTTTTAATCTTTCTTGGTGGATTTTGGACCTGGCTATGTTGATAATAAGGCTAAGACTCGTTAGCACCAGCCTGCATTCTCTTCTTCTTCTTCTTATATATATATTTTTGTAAAGAAGCTTGCATTCTCAATTGAAGCAAAACGTTCGACAAAGATGGCTCTGCATTTATCGGAGTGTCCTAGCATATTAGGTTTCGTCCAATACATAAATCAATTAAGGTCTACTTATCACGTAAAGTTTCCCATTTGATATGAAAAATAAATTTTTTATTGCAACAAGAATAGGGGCAGATGCAACAGGGGAATCATCTGATTCTCTGAAAATAGCAATAATTTGGGGTGGCTATAATAAATCTTCCCGACAGCGCATGGCCCTGTATGTATAAAATACAGAAATAGAATTATTATGCACACTAGTTAAAGTGAATGGATTCTATGGTAATCCCAAAGAGGGCAAAAGTACATATAATGGAGATGGGTAGTGAAAAGGATGATATGGTAATCCTGAAGAGGAAAACAGATGAATATTGCAGTAGCATTAGTGCTGATGCTGCCGCCTGCCTGTGACGATCATCAGTAGTACAGCAGCATAGACTGATCGTCGAGAGCCTTAAATTCCGGTTCAGAACACACCTTAATTACATATGCCACTCTAACTGTACTTAAAAAAAGCACATGCAACACTGTAAGTTGTGAGGTCTTCATATCTCAGCAGTCTCACTTAGTTCTGCTTCATTGTTTTTATAGCCTTCCACTTTCAGAATTCACTTTTTCTTTCAAGGGTGTTCATTTGATGATGAGCACTTACCTTTGAGAAACTATATATATATATATATATATATATATATATATATATATATATATATATTCCGTACTTGGCCATGCCTATTTTCATCGTTTTTTGCAGTCTATAACACCTAACACTGCCATAAGATCACGCAAAACTGACTCAAAAACACCACCAAATCCAAGGTAACTAACCCCTTATAAAATAGTACATGCATTAAACACGTCTTCCACTGCCTGCCATGTGTTTCAACTTTATATACATATATTGCTTTAAGATATCACTGTCAGTACAAAAGCCATCCATCGTATCATACCTCTTACATAACATATCCTCTTAATTTATTTGCTTGCTTTCCCCCTCCTATATATACACAGACACATATATATGTATTGTCTATATTAAACTGTTGAAGAAAAGAAAAGAAAGAAAAGAAGCACTAGTGTTTCTGTTGCAGGAGCCTCTTTTCCGGGTTTGTCGGTAAAATAGTTGAGCCTCTACATTATTGGCATTTATTTCCTCTGTAAGGTCTCTTTCATTGGCTTTTCTTTATTTAAGTTCTCATCGTTTTTGGCATTTTAAGGGTAACTTCTTTGGCTAGTTTCAGGGTGTCGGTTAGTGAGCTTAGTCTTAAAACCTGAAATCATTGTCTTTGACAGTATAATTGATCTGTATTCATTTGCTGGTATTCGAGTAGGGCTGAGAGGCTGTAATTTGCACC